CTTGCCGGTGGAGGTGCTGGAGCGCAAGATGTTCTTCGACGCCACCATTGGCGCAGTGAAGCCGTACGCGCTGGGTGAGAACAGGCAGCAGCAGCGGCAGCGACGGGTGCGGCCGGGGCAAATCCCGCCTGCGATGCCACCGTCGGCGCTGACGCGCGACCCGATGGAAGTCTTTGTTGAGGCGATGCGCTACCAGCGGCCTGCGTACGGCGTCCACTCCTTCGATGTGTAGTAAATCATGTTTTGTGTTTGTGTGGCTGTGCGTGTGTGTGTGTGTGTGTGTGGCGCCAGCTCTCTCCCCGCACATCTGCGTGCCGCGCGTCTGTGCGGCTTCCGCTGCCGTGCGAGGCGGTGCGGTGCTCTTCTTTTGTGTCTGCATATGCAATGTCTGTCTGTCTGTCTGTGTTTGTGTGTGCGGGCGGGTCGAGGCGCGTGCTGCTGCTTTCTCTTCCGTTCTCCCCCTTTCCGCGTTGTCTCTGCCTCTTGTCTCTTCACGTCACGTCCCGCCACTCTTCTGGTTGCGCCGCGTCGGCAAAACACGCCCATCACAACCACAACCGCACAAACAAACCAAAAAACAAAAAAAACAAAACAAAAGGTCTTGCTCCGTTAACATAACAAAAAAATAAACCGTAAGGTATAAGCAAAGAGAAAAAAAAAAAGAACTGTGATAAAGAGAAAAAAAGGACTGTCTTGGTCTATTCATCCCTTAACAACACAGACAGCCAATCAGTTCCTTAAAAACAAACCAACAAAAAAACAACAGCCATGCAGGGTTATTTTGCGCTGAATCAGCCTGTTCTCCCGTCCGGTTGGCAGATAGCCTACACCCCGACCGGCCAACCGTACTACATGGATCATAACACAAAGACCACGCACTGGAATCCCCCGGAGACAGTCGGCTATTCGTTGGGAAGCTACTACAACCCTGTGATGGTAGCTGGCGGCGGCAACAGCCGCGGTGGCCGTGGCCGCGGCGGCCGTGGCGGCATCGACCAAGGGAAGCGCAAGACAAAGATGTGCATCTACTGGGAAAAGAACGGCGAGTGCAGCTGGGGGGATCGCTGCGCCTTCGCCCACGGGAAGGGCGAACTTCGTGCTTCGTCAAACACGGCAAGTTCGCAGCCCCAGCAGCCGGCGCACGAGGAAGACACAGCAACGGCGTAGTTTGCGTACATAGGATGACCGCTCGCAGACTAGAGGTTCTGTGAAGCCAAAGCAAACGAGGAGAAAAACAAAAACACAAAAAAAGACAAAAGAAAACACCAAAACAGAAAAAGAAGCGAGATTTTTGCCAAGGATGCAAAAGAAGAAAATGAGGAAAGAAAAATGTTTCCATGCTGTGTTGAAACAAAGAGAGCGAGAGAGAGAGAGAGAGAGAGGAAGGAAGGAAGGAAGGAAAAATGAGAGAGTGATGGATATATGAATATTAGTTCGTGGACCTTCTTGCTGTGGTTGTTAAGTTCACGTCGTCTCGACGCTCTTCGGTGCGGCGGACCGATTCGCTCGTCCTCTTTCCTCCTCGTCTTTCATGCCTTTATGCGCATCAAGTCCACTACCTGTTTTTGTGCTGCGGCGAGAGGAACAAGGCTGTCGCGAGTTGCCGATGATGTGCGGCAGGTTGGCTGGCATGATGGCGCCTCACCCGTGCGGCGGCGTTCCGGTTTCCTTGAACGCGCAACGCTAAGACGCGCTTGCGCCTCTGTCCCCCACCCCCCCCCCCTGACGAGGCTGTTGCCTACGCCACAGAGGGAGGGGCTGATGTATTTCGGGTATCGAGTGGCACAAGCATCCGCCCGTGCTCGCAGGAATCCCCTCGTCGAAGAGGTGGCCACCACTCCCGCCTCTCCGGCAGCGGCGCGGCGACCATGTCACCGAGCCAGCGGTGCCGTGCGGGTAAACACCACACATGAACACCGCAGAGTCGCTGCGCTATGGAAGAGCTGCACACCTTGCGATGGCTGTTTTGAACGAGGGTGTGCTCGCATGGACTTTTAAAAGTCTCAGCACTCGCTTTCTGAAGAGGCTCTCTGCAACGTTACGCTTTTGTGACGCTAAAGACAATCTTTTTTGTTTGCATCGTGTGCCTTATATGGGACAAGGGTAGCATGATAAGTACCAGCAGCCTTTTGTTTTGTTTTCACGCCCGTCATGTGCAGTCGTCCGTCGTTTGCGTGAAGCTGGTTTTTGATGCAGCCTATTTTAAAGTGTTGGTGCTCGACATGCCCGTCGCTGCTACGTCGAGCTCAATGTCCGGCAGACAAGCGTAGTGCTCCACTGCGAGAGACACCATGGCGGCTTGAAAGCGTTTCGCTATCCCTGCATGCGTGTGAGGAGTGGGGTATTCATTGAATCGGTCCCTCCACAGAGACTGGCTGGTGAGGGCCACTGGTGGGGGGGGGG